GTCCTAGGCCTGGCTCTGCCATTGATTTCATTCATTCAACAAATATATACCAACCACCCTGTATGCCAGATAGCCACTACTGCAGGCTCTGGAAACACAGCAGGGAATGAGGCATACAGGAACCCTGCTTTCATGGCGCTTACAGTCAAAAGACAAAAGACTGGTAATAAACTGCATAACTAAGAAAAATTCATTATACAAATAATTAAAACGGGGTGATTCGACAGTGACTGGGTCGCTGCTTAGACTGGATTGTGTGGGACACTCTCCAACGATGGACATGTAAGCTCAAATATGAACTAGGAGAAGCCACCCATGGGAAGAACATTTCAGGCAGAAGAAACCACTAATGCAAGGTCTTGAAGGTAGGAGGAAGCTTGGTTGCTGCTGAACTTGCTGGGAAGTTGGGTGAAGAACCTGGACTCCCTGGAAAGCTACCCCCCAGGGGATGCTGCTGAATTCACGGGAAAGGCAGCTGGGACGCCCTCAAAACTCTCTGGGAAGGTACCCAAGGTAGCTGCTGCTGAACTCGCCGAAATGTGCAGAGGCACCCAGTGAACTCAGCAGGAAGCTGCCTGCTGGGCCACTGGGAAACCAGCTGGCTTACTGTCCAGCACTTGGATACATGTACTCTGAGGGGGCTCTAGAATTTGCACAGGGTCTCCAAAACTGCACAGATGCTACATTCTTCCTGTGGGCAGAGTCTGCTTTCGGCTCAATTAGTTCCTCTTGAAAATGAGTCAAAGTGATAGTGATAATTTAGATACAGCCTAAGGTATTAATTCCAAAGGCAGCTGTAAAAACTTAAAAAGGTAATGTACTCGCACGTAAGATTGTGAACCTCTTCTAGAACTGTGTTTTCATTTTTACCATATGGTCCTGCAATTCTTCAAGATGTAGGAATCCACTGAGTTCTAGGCAATTTAACAATGTAAAGACAATTCTGTCTCTACTCACTGGCTGAATTCTGAAGTCCAGTTTTGATTCTGAATGCTAGCACTTGTTTGAAGAAACACTCAGAAATGCCCTTCTGAGCCATGAAGTTTGGGGGACAATCTGTCAAGTCTTACCAGTAAGAGAGAACAATCTGCAAACCAAACAGAAACAGGCCAACTGGGATTCCATAGATGCCCTTGAACTAAGTGTGCATCAATCTGCAAACCAAACAGAAACAGGCCAACTGGGATCCCACAGATGCCCCTGAACTAAGTGTGCATCTCAGTATCTATCTCCCATCTTCACCAGGTTTTCAGCACCTGTCCATCAAGCTGCACTACACAAACGAAATGCCAACACTTTGTTCCACTTCTCCGTAATATTCCCCAAAGTGGTGACAGTGGTGAGAGTTACAGGCAGAAGAGAGGAAGGAAAAACAAAGAT